GGCCTGGAACCAGCACCTGCCTCAGGCAACCTACTCTTCCAGGCCATCACCCCCTTTGCCCAGCCTATGCCTAGAACCAGCCCCGTGATCATCTTGTACCTCTGCAGAGGTCCCAAAAGCCAAAGAAAAAAAAGTCATATTTAAACATCTAAAGAATATGCAGAAAGCTGAAGTGGTAGTGGCTATTTTTAGATGTATATTTTCTCCCTTCTTTTGTTGCTACTGAATATCTGCCATGTCTATCTGCCTCTTATCTATACCAACCTTCCCACTGTGGTTATCGCCAGCAGAGCTGAACAACAATATGAAAGCTAAGACAAAATTACTATAGAAATAAACTTTGTCACACCCTTTCCATTTTGTCCCCTCTGAGAGAGATTGCTCTTTCAGTGTATTTAACTGTATAGGTCGCAATGGTTTTTACAATGTTACTGGAACCACGCAAATTACCACCACCAAATACCAAATAAGCTTTTTGAACACAAAGGGAATAAAATAAGTGAAGTGAAATTATCACACAACTGATAGCTTTTTTTTTTTTAAATGGAGGTGTGAAAACTGCTTGCCTGTGCATTTATTTTGTACTGGTAGCTGCAAACACATTCAACAGACTAAAGAGGAAGGAGCTTTGGCACAATCAGATGGCCAACTGCTGGGCACGAAGGCTTCTCCAGCCTCTCCCAGTGCTCAGTCTCATCTCCAGCTTTCTAGTGCTAAATTAGGTATTAAACATGCCAAGGCCTGTGAGAGAAACACTTACAGATGCTGAATCTTTTTCCACCTGGCTAGAGCGCTACAAAGCACCACCTTGTTTTCTGATAGATGCCATCTACCCAGGACATTTCCACAGATTCTTGGTATTAAAATCCAAATGACATGAAAACCAGCCTAAATCCCACTAAATTCTTCTACATTGCCCCACCACTTTCTTGCTGTGATAATCAAACAAGTGTTCCATTGCACACCATGGTCAACACTGATCTGAAGGGAGAGAAACCACAGTCCTAAAAGTAGAACAGTTTGGATCCCAAGACCATGCTTCAGAAAAATCCATTTTTTAAAAATACGAACTTTCCAGAGCGTGCTCCCCATTGGGCCAGGCAGCTTCCCCCTGCCCCACCCCAACTGATATGCATATATGGATGCATACATAAAGAAGTCTCAAAAATAGCTAAAGATATTAAGAAACACTTAATCATCTATTATTCATCTTCACTTGTCAGCCTGGAACTTTGAGAACTTAAACCACAAGCTGTCTCCAATAAGATAACCCTGTTCAAATGTTGTGAAAAGATCTGTTGCTGAATTCTTCAAGCCTAAAGAGGTGTCTGCATTTACAATGACCAACAAGGAGAAAAAGAGGGAAGAAAAATTGCATCAGTTCTGCTGAAAATTGGTGCAATTGGTTTAGTAACTGGACCACAATGACAGGCCCTTTCTTGCTAGCAGTTACAGTCAAAGGCAGAATTAAAAAGAGGTTTTGAAATGCAGTTCGCTGTTCTGATTTAGTGAAGTTTTTGAGAAGCCTGGTGGCAGCCTGCTCACGTAAACTGAAGGATCCCCAACTGTCTTCTCAATCACAAATAAATATCATATCCCTCACATAGCATCTTTGAGCAGTGTTTCAAAAGCAAGAGACAAGCTCTGAGTTGCAAAGATGATTCAGAGTAGTGGGTGAGGAATGTAAATTCCATTTTGCAAAACGTTTGGTCTACTAAGCCCTCTATTACCCCACAAGATGTGTCAGGTTCTGTCTTGAGCAAGGATTCTTTACCAGCTAAGAGGCCATGTTAATAGCAGTGAGGTTTACGTACTGCCTTAAGTGCTTATACAGTAACAGTCTTGCTGGGCAGATGATGCAGGGCTGATGTCTCTTCTCACTTTTAACTTGCCTTGGAGTAAAGTAAAATCTGTGGAAACTCAGGACCATTTTTCTTCTGCCAGACTAACGTATTAATTTTGCTAGAAACTGCCTCTGAAGAAAACTGGAATATATTCTTTAAAGAGGAAATTGGCTAACAAATTCACCAAGTAATCAGCAATTACTCCTGAAGCACAGTGGAGAGCTGGGTAGTACTTGGATGGAGAAGAAAGTGGAAAAATGAGCAAACTACTCCATCTTCAAGAAAGGAAAAAAGGTGGTAAAAAAAAAGCAACAAACCTTCTGGCATAGGAAATCCTGGCCTATTCAGAAAAATCTAAGACTGTGGAGTGAGACAGCCAATAAAACTCTTTAACAGAACAGCTTCCTAAGCAATTTAGGAAATATCTTTTTTCACAGACTCCCCCAGCCTGAAGTAAATCCTGTCTAATAACTGGACCGAACAAAACCTCTGGCAGAGTTTCCAGCTGAGGGGGAATGACTTAATACAGCCTACTAGCAGGACACCTCAAAATCATGATTATTTGAAAAAAAAAAAAACAACCCCCGTAGAATTTGTTCCATTTTACTGGCAAAATACCAGCACAGATAACCATATTCCTCCAACTCGAAATTGTCTGACTGGTGTGCTCCTTCCCATTCTTCTTCACCTCTTGTGCAGCAATGTTGCTAACCATTAGCTGGCTAGTACTTGCTGCACCTGTACTTAAGCAAAATCATCTATTCCTGAGTTGTTATTAAGGATGCAGCTCTGTAAAAACATTTATGCTTGAAAAAAACTTGCTATTTACAAATAGCTGATATAATTTAAGGGAGCTGTATCATAAATATTTATAGCAACACAATGTCTGAATTCAACCGGAAGGTACAAATCAGTTAGAGACACATTTTTATTTAAAATACCAACCAACCAACAGTACAGGACATTGCATCATCCTGTCTAGTTTGTACAACATTGTAAATGAAAGACCACATTCCACCCCCTCAGATCACAGACCCAAAGACACTCCTATTTTAAGCTATAACATGAGAAGGAGTTTGCCACTGAAGCAGAATCTTTCCACATCTCTACAGCAAGACTCCTTCTCCAAGAAGCAGCACAGCAACCTCTCTAGCTGCACAATTATTGTGAACCACAGGGTGAGATTTAAGAAAGGATATTTCATCACATTCAAAACAGGCATAACCCTTCAAGAAGAGATGAATGAAGAAAAGAAGCACTTCAATAAGCCTGTCACAGGTGATTTGGATGGCCAATGAATTATTTGCCACAGAAGCCCAATCTTTAGGTCTAACAAAGCTCGTGAGTTTCGCTAAATCAGTAAGAGAACTGCACAAGTTACAAGAGACTAAGACACATAGCTCCTAGCACAGGATATTCTGATCCCATTAAGCAACCACTGAGGGCAATTGACATTAAGTAATTAATTTTGTAACTGAATGTTGCAAGTTTACCGACACCCTTCCTCAAGTTACAAGAGCCAGAAACCAGAAAGCTGACCAAAACATGGATGGCGTTGTTTTGTGGTAATTTTAGCTATCACTCTTTGTGCAAAAGAGCCAGATAAAAAGTGTCCTCTGCAGCTGCCTGGGAAAAAAAGTTTTCAAGAGCAACACAGCCAGATAAACACAAAATCCCAAATCTAGAATTTACAAACGGGGTCAGGACAACTATAGTAACATGCAAAAAATGTATATCCACACATAAAAACTGACAGATAAATAACTAATAAAAAAGTATGTAACCTTTGTTTTAACTAAGGGAAAATTCCATAAGTAGCAGCAACACAGTGTCAAATGTAAAAGGAAATAATACAAATTAAAAGGAAAGCGGGGAGAAGTCTCTATAAACCCTACACAAAACCAGAAGGCCAAGGTACTGGTATCATTAGCTAAAGACCATCTTCAGAACTTCTGGACTGCAACGTCAAATGTTGTTTAAATAAGCAAACCAAAATTAGAATGGCATTTTCCTCAAAACCCAGCCTTTAACCAAACCTTTTAGAGGCTAATCATCCTCTCAACGGTGATTAACAGCCTTTGAAAATGAAACAAAATATTTTCACTTAACCTCTAATGCAGGTTGTAATTTGCTCACACTACTTCTAAAGCACCTGAGACCGCGGGATAGCACTCAGTTGTACTTAATACCACTAACCTATGCAGTTTAAACTGTCAGAGCCATTAAAAATAGAAACGGCAGAACATTTTTGTAAAGTCTTGAGGCTTTCAGTCAGGATTCACACCCTTCTAAAAGAACCCAGCAATTTATTTCACCAGAAGAGATCCGCTGATGTCGTATGGCTTAGAGCGAGCAGCGGATGATGTCATATTCCCAAACCTTAGGCAACATCAGATGACACCGAATTAGGCACTGACCAACTGTGGCACCTACAATACTACTGCTACACCCCACACTGCTGCTCTTCTTCACTCTAACACCCCTCTCCTCTGCTTTCACGCAGAGCTGAGGTCGTGCTACTTGCTTAGCACGTCTGCCCCAGCATGGGGAAGGGTGAGAGAAGAGGTCAGAAGCGGTCACTTCCAGCAGCTGATAGTGCTTCTCCACCCAGAAAGTAGAGAAGTGTAACTGCTCTGCATTGGGAATCAGTGGGAGGGTTTTGGTGCAAGAGGAAAGAAAGAGGGGAAGAGAGGCCAGTGCACAGGAGCTGTAAGGAGCAGCAGCCTGTGAACCCAGAACCATTTTATGTTGCAAGCTTCATTGAGATGAAATTTCTTAATAAGAGGTCATAAGTTCTTCAGTGAACTCAGTTCACTGAACTCAGATCAGCTTAGAAGCAGCAGAGTTAGTAGACAAGAGGGAGGAAGACACACCCTGCTCCACTCACAGCTCTTTCCCTCCATCAGCTCATCTAAAAGACTCAAATGATCATTATATGAGAAGAAAAACAAAATCAGTACGATAAAAGATTGAAAGGACATTGGCCATTGTTATCCAGAGACCGAATTAGGCATTTGTAAACTCTCCCCATCCAGCTTCCATCCGAATCACTCCAGATTTACCAGCTGAGTAAGAAGAGCAATTTTTCAAAAACCAAACTAGTATTTGTCAGACACCTGCTCCCTCTCCCCCAAATTCCAAAACAACAAAACTTACCTGCTTCTGGATCTGGAGGAATCCTCCACATATACAAATTGAAGTCATCAGAACCCGAAAGGATGTACTGTTAGGAATAAAAATAAAAGTAGTTTACCACAAAGCATTACCTGAATTATGTTATTTTATTGTTCATCTAGTTTCTTCAAACCAAAAATGAGAAAAAAAGATAAATTGTGCCACTCGTTGCACCTCACCAATCAACTTACCCTTAAACGGGGGTGAAGTACCAGCACAAAAATGCTGCATACATATAAATGAACTAAAATTCAAAAGCATGCTTCATGTATCTGATGTGTACTGCCCAAAGCCTATGTCGTCTTTGCTAAATAAGGCTATAGATTTTGGTTGGCTTTAATACAAGTGTGTCTAGATCAAACTCTCATATCTTGCAGCCTGCAACTCTGCTCTTTTTTTAGTGTCAAAGACTTTCATCCTTTTTTTTCCTCACCTCCTGAACCACTGAGGAAAGCTCCATCAAACACGTATCTAAGAATAGAGCTAGCATGTCCTCTACACACGAACACAACACATCTGGCTCATCAGTCTCCTAAGACCACCAAAAGTCAGTCACGGAGGATAATCTTCAACACAGAACAAAACCAAAGCTAAACACTCACTGTCAGCAAGTCTCAAGCAGTTTAAAAAAACCCCCATTTATCACACTGTTCATTTTTTTTCCTGGTTACAGTTACTCTGAAGAGATGGAAGGCCGCCCTCTTTCAACAGTGCATGAATGATAAGCAATCTCTTTATTGTACAGAAGTTTAGGCAATATGCAATTTGAAGTAGCTTAATATACTGCAAACATGCTGTGGAATGACAGGTGACATTTGACATGGTAAAAAGCTTATGCCTCTCAGTTATGAGAAGCCACAAACCGTGCCTCATCCAATCAACTGTATTCCATGTCATTTCTCTCTCTCCCACATTAGAGACAAGATGACATTTAGTCTATAGGGCAGATTCCAATTCCAGTTATACTGGTGTAGACAGTGTAAATCTCTAGCCCTCAACTGACTTAAGGTTTCTGTTTAATCACTACAGTCCAGAAGTCCATTTTTTAATTATTATTATGGTAGAAGCAAGGGAGAAAAAGAAAGAAATGGATCAAGTTTGTCCCTTTTCTCACCTTTCATAGGAGACAAATTCTGTTTTGTTTGGCTCATGTATAACTGGTTTCTATCTTTCCTTCTCCAGGAGTACATAAACTCACCAGGCAAAGTACATCAAGCAGTGAGAAGTCCTGGAGTAACACAGGACTGAGAAGCAAATAAACAAAAAATATACACTAACATGGAGAAGATGGCTATAAATTTGCATATATTCTGTTTGCAATGCTAATTAAGTTCGTAAAGTGTTTGGATGTTTCCAGGCACAAAAATGAAATAACCAACCACTAAAATCCCTTCTACGGTTTCCTCCTATGACAATCCAACCATTCTTTTTTCTCTTAGTTTTAAGGATGTAGGATGTGAGTAAGCACTCATGAATGCAATTCTGCTTGTTTTCTGACAGATAAAAAGCAGTGATCAAACAAAAGTTCCTTTAAAAACTTGTGCACACTAGTTCGGTATCACTCATACACCCATCCTTTCCAAGCCAGAGAAGTTATTTCTAAAAGCCAACATGTTCAAGCCCTTAGGCACCTCACCTCTGCCAGACTGACCTGACGGTGCCAGGAATATGTGCTTCCCTTTCATTTGACTGCTCGTAAATGTTAGCTCACAGCAGGCTGAGCCACTGCGCCAGAACTACAGAGATTAGGGCTCATATAAGCAACCTCCCAGCACCTCTAGTATGTTTTGTAACACAAGAAATGCTACATGGGAAAAAAAAGATTAAAAAGTCTTGGTTAAAGTTATGAAGATGTTGCCAATTGTTAGTATTTATTACCAAATTGTGTGGTTGAAGCAGCAACTGGTTTGCCCAGGACACATTGGGGAAAATGGAGACTTCTAAACGAGCTGGAAAGGTCAGTATCTTGAATTTATGACCATAACACCTTTTTTTTTTCTTCTCTAAAACAAACAAGTTCTAACAACTCCTCAATATGAGAGTCATTTAGCACTTTACGTCATAAATCAAAGCAAGCTACCAACAACGACAGGCCCCAAAGTGACAGATTTCAGCTATCCTGCACCAGGGACACAACACAGAAAAAATGTGCACGGAACCAAGTGTCTGTGTCTTCAAGTCAGTTTCTGAACTGATTTGCAGAGGAACACACTGTGTATCCTGCAAGACTCAAGGGTCAATCACGTAGGAAATCACTGCCCAACGAACAAGAACATGGTACCTGCAAAGACCACTCATCTGAGCATACTCTGTCTTGCTTTGGAGACAGAAAAGTTTAGTGGCCTTGCTGTGCTGTGGAGTAATGGCAACTTGACTGTACTATCAAAAGTGTAACCAGGAGGTCAAGACAAGTGATTATTCCCCTTACATGGCACTTTTGTGGCCACTCCTGGATTATTGTGTCTGGTTTGTGTCCCTCAATATAAGAGTGGCACTAATGACTCGGACAAAGAGTGGAGAAGGGCCACTGGGGCTGAAAGCACACGTCCTGAGAGGAAAAGCTAAGGGAACTGGCCTTATTTAGCCAGAAGAAGAGAAAGTGAAGGGACAGAGTGGACCCCAACAGTCTCCCACTGTCTGAAGGAATAGGGAGCAGCTGGGGCCAGACTCTTCTCAGAGGAATGCCACAGACGCTCAGGAAGCAACCGTCACAAGTCACAGCAAGGGAAATTCCAGCTGAGCACAAAGGAACAGCACGTTCAGGAGGAGCATAAAAAACACTGCAGCTCGGCCCAGAAAGGTGCTGGAATCTCCACCCTTGCAAATCCAAAATTTACCTCTACAATTCCCTGAGCAACCTGATCTGACTTTGAAGATGCTCTGCTGTGAGAAGCAGCTTAAGTCAGATGACCTTAAGTCCGAGCAGTCTTCTGATTCATTTTTTCGAAGATTATTAAAGTAAAGAGGGAAATAATTATTTTGGTGGATTGGGGCTGGTTTTTGGGTTGAGAAGTGGAAGGGGAGAGGACCGGAGAGGCAGGCAGTGTCAGGAAAATGCCCACCTGAAACCTTTTAAGCTCCAGCACACATCACAGCTTCATGAAAATTCCTATGGGAAGACAAGCTTTGGCCACATCGAGGCATAAGCTGCAGTTCAGCACATGGACTTGCATAAATTCAGGTGGTCAAGATCTGGAGAATTTATAGGAAAATTGTCAAAGCATCTTAAAGTAGTTCAGAGAATCACAGAATGGTTGAGGCTAGAAGGGACCTCCAGAAATCATCTGGTCCAACCACCCTGCTCAGGCAGGGTCACCTAGAGCCAAGTGCCCAGGACCATGTCCAGAAGGCTTTTGAATATCCCCAATGGCAGAGATAGTTGGATTGACTATCTCCAACTGAGATAGTTCCTACCTACTCAAAAGCACCATGAATTCCTTCACGTCATTACCATTTCCTAGCCTTTATGACATTTGCACCAATCAAATACACTTGGCCAAAGTATTCTGGAGTGAATGAAGAGAAAATAAGTAGGAATGAATACAGCATCTGCATTGCAATTTATGTTTAGTCACAGAACAAAGCTCAGCTCAGGATCTGTGCTGTTCTGAAGTGTTTACAGGTTTAATCTTGCAACTAGACAGCCATCAGTAAGTGCCAAAATCATTAACTAACAATGTCATCAACACAAGTTTGATGTTGTAAGCAACAGGCTGTGAGTTCCAAACTTTTTATATAAATTGAAATTTTATTTTGATAGCTAGCTCTGCCAATAATTATCAGAAATAGATCATACTCCATAAAATATCTAACTATTTGGTACCTCTGCCATTCCACTGCTACCACTGTAGCAACCAGCATTGTTTTCCACTCTCTTTCCCCGTTACGATACCTCTGGGATACATGTTTTCCCGCTGTTCTCACAATATAGAGCTGAATTCCCAAATGCATTCCTTTTGTCCTTTTCTGCAAGACCAGGTGATAGAGATCTGAGAAGTGGAACGTGGTTTTTCAGAGAGACCAAGAGACTGCCAGAAGCACAACTTCGTGACTGCAGCTGGTGCGAGAGAGATGTGCCAGCTGAAGCTTCAAGAATAGACACCCAAGCTGCTGAAGCCAGAAACACGCCTCTTCCATGACATTTCAAAGAGAAACTCAATTCCAATTCGTACTCCCTGCACAAGACAATGGGAACCCAAGGCCTCTGGAGAGTACAGCTGGACTGATGTTACTAGGACATCTACATCATCATCTGTGAAAATTTTCCTTTGATGTATTCATTATTAGTATAACAATGAGCCAATAGTTTTTCACACTAGTTGAAAGTTAGAGAACAAAAATTGAGAAAACACAAGTCAATCCATACTACTAGAAAATTCAAAGTAATAACTGCTATGAAGTGCACCAAGCCCTCGTTAATAACGCTGAAATCCTGAGGGAACAGAGTAGACTTTTATAAAGGAAGGAACAGAAAGAAAAGAGTTGGGGTGGGGTAGATGAAAGAATGTCATCCTGCATATGCTTAGACTCCACTTTAATTGTGGCCAAGGATTTTTGGTCCTGAGGGGATGTACAAAGTACCTTCTGTTCACTCACTTTAAGAACAAAAGCCCAGATAATCAAATCACAGAGGTAAGGCAGTGAGAGGCAAAACCAGGCATTTCAGAGAGACAAGTAAATGGCTCTCTCCCTCCTCCCACACTCCCTCCCCAAAAGGCAAACTGGAAGCAGAGCACAACCTCAAGAACCAGTGCTGAATTCTGAATCAGACCAGACACGGCGCGAGGAGCTCAGATGCTCAGATGTCTGGGGGGGAGAGACCAATATTAAAACCACCTGTTTCATTGTCTGCATTTTTGCTGCTGTATCTGACCAGGACTTTGGAAATCAACATTCACAATATTCACATGAACATGAGATTAGACAGAAAAACAGTTGCTAATAATTAATATTGGAGTTTTTTTAGAAGGGAAGAATCGGCTTCTCTGTCTAGCTGTTAGCAACAATGACAGGAAAAGGCTTCCAGATGACTACAAGCTGCTGATTCAG